ATGCTTAGGTAAAGCCTGTTAGGCAGAGCATTATATGGGTAAAAACCCCAGTTTGATACTTTTACACACATGTACATGCCTTGCCATTTGTCATATCAAGTGGATAAACATGAAGCTTACCTCCTGTATCTCCGAGGTACAGCTACTGAGACATACAGCTGGCTATTATTATGCTAAAGTGAAAATTTACAGCAGAAAATATGAAATGAATTGTTGTAACCTAATGCTATGTACCAAAAATTATGAAAGAAATAAATGTTCTTAAACAGAAGATCTATCATGTCCATATCTATTATATCTTAAGAGCACATGATCTCTGAAATTACCAATTTTCAAATTTTTGAAGATGTAAATTAAATGACAAATCTGGTAAATTAAGAAAAATGTTGTATGTATACAATTTTTAACTTCATTCCAGCTAAAGTGAAAGTGAAAGTAAGTCTTATTGCCATATTAAAATTCTAAAGTATGTCTCTTATTAGCTTTTAAATTACATTCAGCTGGGTGTGAGTGAGTGTGTCATTATTCTTAGAAGTTAAGATTAACAATTTATGTTATTGAGGTCATAATGTTCTTATACAGAAAGGAAATAAATATATCTATGTGGCAAAATCAAATAAGAAATTAAAGATTGATTTGAAGGAATAAAAATAAATTCGTGAATCTGTCACTTCTTTAACCTGCCAGAGAATCCTTTTAATCCAGAAACAAATGTTGGTGATTAGAAGGCCATAAGACTATCCGATCTTAATTTTCAAATCTAAAATTTTTCCTTTTGATCTGCCCTAAATTCCCCTGTACTGAGAATGCTGTAATCATTACACATGGTATTTGGAAGGAAGCCTAGGCTTTGAGGTAATTTTTATGCACTTAGTGTCCTGCATGTATGTGTGCTTAGACATTTTATTGCTGTTAACGCAAGGAATTTAGCAGATTATCTGTTGGAGAGCTCTGACCAAATGACAGAATTTGGGAAGGAAATATTGTAAAATGATTAGCAGAGAGAGGCAGAGGAGTCAGTCAGTACAAGAGGCTTGAATGCATATGGCCAGGAGGTGTAGTCAAGAGCCCTAAAGACAGACTTTTCAGATTTTGTTCACAATTTTCTCTGACACCAACTATGTTAACTCACCTCCTATTGTATAATATTCTATGAAATAATAACTTTCTCTGATTTACATTGTGAAATTCTTGAAATCACGTATACTTTTATATTTGAGAATTTTCATATGTCTGTCATTCTTTTTTCTTCTTAGCCATGAACACCTTTATTTAAGGTGAAGCAAAGCCAAGGAACACACTAAAAAGTAAAAAGTGAAAATGTAGCTACTTGTATGCAAAATATTGATTATTTGTGCTTTACTATTAACAAAGTAAAAACAACCAAGAAAAGAAGTAACCTGTCACTACTATTTCCAAGCTAAGTATGTTGGTTGATTCATTTGTTCATTTTTTAAAAAAATTATTAGTACATGTTTGCAATACATAATGTTTAAAGTTTGTAAACTTGGTACATGTATGTGACACATCATATTTCCTTTTTCATTCCCTTTTCCTCCCCTCCCCTCTCCTTCTCTTGATCCCTTTCCAATTTGAAAAAAAAAATCTATCCTTACTTCCTACTATCGATCTTTCATTTTGCTCCATTTATCTTTTGGCTTTCTCATATAAGAGAAACTATGCCATATTTAAGTTTGTGTGTCTGATTTATTTCACATACATTATTGTCTCAAGGTGCAGTCGTCTTTGTTTATTCTTAAAACATGACTAGTAGTTATGATTGTGCCTTCTTTATTGTCATTTTGTAGTATAACGTTTTGTGGAAAATTTCTCTTGATTCCAATAATTACTCCTTTCATATTACAGTCTTTTGATTCTAAGAATTTGATAAATCATATATCCAAGCTTTCATAATTTTTCATGAAGAAATGAGAAAAAAAATATGTGATTATTTAGTCTGAAAGGTAAAGGATTTTGAAGTGATAATAGTTTTTAAAAGATTATTTTTCCAAAGAAATCCATAATTTTACATCTCTGTCTAGACATAAATAAATTTCTGCAGTAGCTACAGCCTTCTTTCACAAAAGGGCTGTTGGTTTGTTGGATGGTTATACAGAAACCAATTTGAGCATTGATCCTGGTATATTCTGTTTAAAATATTTGTATAATGTAGTTAGTAAAAATAAAATTCTAAAGAAAAGTCTGTGTGCAAAAATATATATGTGAATAAAAATATATATATGGAATTACCTAATCATGTAAATAATATAACAATTTTAATGAATATATCTCAATAATTTGAGTACTTATCTATAGGTAAATATAGTATCTAAACATAGATTTCCAACATGACTCTTCAAAGTGCACTAGGATTTAAATCCAAGAAGTAGAAATGCATGTATTTATATATAGTATAGCTTCTTCTGGGCTTCACACATTTGAATAGGAAAGGCTATTGTCTAAAGTTTTAAGAACTAAACTTCAGAAGCACATGAGAACTTTGAATGTTCTGAGATTTAATATGAGCAATTTCCTTGCTCTTTTGCCTGACTAGTAAATCATTTACTCCAGCAGGCAAAATTTTTCCTTTAAAAAAGCTTCGTTTGAAAAACAGAATTTTCAAAAACAAAATAGACTTGGAATAGGAACACTATGTACTTTGGTCTGAATACAGGACTACCAAAATAGAAAAGCAGTTGGCTTTTTACTTAAGACCCAGTAGGAAGATAAAGGAATATGCTTTAAGCGATAAAGAGATAGTTAAGAATCATTTCTGCTAAATTGAAGTAAAGCTACAAATAACTGATTGGATAAAGTTTAAACTCTGGAAGCTCTGAAACTATACAAGTGTACATATTGTGCCTAGAGGACTCAGAGGTCAAAGTAACGCTTTGTTCTGGAGTTGGATATCTATACCTACACATTGCCCATCCTCAAACTGAAGTGACAGGATCACAGGATCCAACAGGCCCATGTCTAAGTTATAAGCACTGGTACAGCACGTTTGTCTCCTTTTCACTTGGCACACAGAGAAAAATGACTTTCGATAGCAAAATCAAAATCAGGAAAGAGAGGTTATATAAAAGAGGGAGCCAAAACTATATACAGCTAGATTTTTCCCTTCACGTCTCAAAACAATATCTATTTTCCTTTCTACTCTGTGAATTTATGGATTAACTAAGTAATATGTCATATGTACCTGCACACAAACATATCTATATAACATGGTATTTCAAAGTTCTCCGCCTACTCTTATTCTTTATTTTTCTACCCAAATTACCCATAATAGCACCTCTTTTGTGCTTTTTTTTTGGTGGCCTACTCATCAGTGTAATAGAACACAGAGAAAAATACATATATACCCTTGCATAAGATACACACACACACACACACACACACACACACACACACACTAAATATACATACATAGATAGGTAGGTAGATAGGTAGATAGATAGATAGATTCATGATGGGGTGGGTATATATATATATATATCTTCAGGAAATGGTCATAAAAAGTAAACTCCAAGGAATATTTCAAGATTTGAGACTAACTAGCCAAAAATGGATTGCGGGCTGGGGAGACAATGCAAAGATGTGCTTCCAAAGACTGAGCTGACCTGAAGCACCACTGTGCCTGCAGTCAGACTTTATCAGGCTCTTGCCTCTAGGCCTTAAGGACAGTATAAATGGTCCGTAAAAATCATATAGATCCAAAGATCTTTGAAATTCTAGCAGAATAAAAGAATAATGCACCACAGTCAAGAAGTTTGTGTTAGCAGCCTAAACATGACTCACTGAAACCACATTACTAGATTAATGAGGAAAATATGGTTGTAATAGAAATGAATGCTGAAAAGATATTTGATAATATTTAGTATCTATTCTTAATCAACTGCTAATCTTGGTTCTTTATTAATAGTACCTGTTATAAATAAAGATGTAACATTATACAGATACTGACAAATAATACGGATATTTTCACTCAAAAAGCAAATTGTATGCTTTTAATGAATACACAAGGAGGAAGGTAAACAGAGGGAAGTTTTTACCATAGGGGAGCTATAGACACGCGAGAACAGGGAAAAAGGAATGACACAGGAGGTCAGTCAGAGGAACAAGAGGAGAACATTTAGGGAGAGCAGCAGGGGCTCCCACTGGTGGCCTTTAGAGGCTGAGGACAGGCTCTTCATTGACTGTTGTCCTGGTCTCCACTAAAGTCTCCCACTATAGCTACACCTGAGGTGACCCTATGGGTATCATTTAAGTAAACTCATCTTTTATTTGGGGAAGGGGAGCCTCCTCATTTTTATTTCCTGATTATAAAATAAAATGGTCATTTTTAAAATGAAAAATCTGTAAGACAATGAATTATTATTTCTGTACATTAATTTGCACATAACACACGTACATAAAACATGCCATGCTTGTGGGAATTCATATAGCCATTTTTTTTTTACGTTGGTACTGGGGATCAAACTCACGACCATGCACTTGCAAAGCAGGAGCTTATGCCACTGAGTTAAATCCCCAGCCCCTCGCATAGCCATTTTGGTGAGCACCTTGGAAGTATGTGCTGCATCCCTAACTACAGGGAGTTTGTAATAAGAGTGAGAAAATAAACTACTATAATAAATGATACACATAGTGTGTGATTGAAAAAGATGAATGCTTTAAAAAAGGAAAACAGAATACGTTTAGGAGTAAGATTTGGTAAGAAAGAGGCAATTTAAGCTATACTTGGTAAAAATCTGAAAGAGACTTGAAGATGGGAAGTTGCCACATAAATATCTGATATAAATTCACATTAGATAAATTTCTATTGGTAATAGAAATCTCAGTCTTAAGAATACCTTCAGTACAGGTCTATCAAGCACGAGGTCTTGGGTTAGCTGCTCAGCACTGCTAAAAACAAAAGATAAGAAAAGTGTTTACACGGTCACTTTACTCTCTGCTGAGAAAGAAATACCTGACATTTCCAGTGTAAATGAAGACAGGTTTATTTTAATTCACAGTTTCAGAAATTTCAGTCTCTGGTTTGGTGGCTCCAGTGTAGACACATCACTTGGAAAGGCATGATGGAGGAGTGTCACTGAGCTCACTTGCATTCAAGGAACAGAGAACAGGAGAGGCACTGAAGACAAAGGGCCAGGGATCGGGTATTGTCCCCATGTTCACATGTCCATCATCCATCCAGCCATGTTTAGTGATGCGGTTTACTTAAGTAGGTGCCTCTCAAGTCAGTCAGATTCACCATGCAGATAGTGGAGAGCAAAGGAAAGTAGAAAAGAATTAAGATGTGTTATGTATACGAACCATCTCCCCACCTGAAGTATAATTATTGTGTTCAGCAAGCACATACTCATAGACACAGAACACATTAACCATTCAATATTTAAAGAAATATATGTAAATACGTAGTTAATATTGTTTTATAATAACTAAACATATTTTAATATCATTATGTGATTTGTCTTTACTTCACTGTATCTTAGGATACATTATTATGACAATAAGTATAAAAGTTCATCATACCCTATTAAGATTATGTAGTATTTGAACGAAAGAGTGCAGTGGAAGTTATTTATCCATGCCTCGGTTTTCAGTACTGTAAGGAGTGCTTTAAATACTTATTTTTTTGCCCACTGTGTTTTATTTTGTTTGTTTTGTTAGAAAAGAAAAAGTGGTGTCTCTATACCAAGGTGAAGCATAGTATTAAGCCTTATTAACAACTAATATGTACTTTATAAACAGATAGTACAATAATCCTGCTAGGATTTTATAGTTATGTTTGTGCAAACAAATTCTTTGTGCAAACAAATTCTTGACCCGGAGCATGTCCCTGTTGCAGATTGTGATGGCTACTGAAGTGCATTGACTGCACTTTAGTCCTTGCACAGGGACTCCATATGCTCCCTGCACATATTCTGGAGGTCACTTGACCACTATCAAGGAGGCACAGAGAAGAAGAGTCACATCTTACCTCTCTTCCCTTTAATACTGAGATATAAGGGCTGCTTAGTAACTGTTGATGGCCATGAACTTTGTATTATACTGCGTAAGTTTCTCTGAAATAACAATTGATCTTATGGACTATACATGATGGTTTTGTAAAGGACAAAAAAATAATTCCATCCTTCCAAATTAGTTTCTCCTCTTAATTTTCTCACATTGTTTTTCCTTCAACTGTTCTAAAGAACATCTGTTCTCCTGTGATAACTCCCACAATACTTTGATGTGAGTTTATTACTTGCATTCCTGCTGGTTTATAAACAAACATACAAAAGCTATTGCTTTACAAGGCTAGCAATAGATACTTCTTTCTATGCTGATTTTAAGAAAAATTACTATAAACATTTTAGAAAATACTTAGACAAAATGCAACATGGGATATTAACATCGAAGTGTTTGCTCTTTGTAATCATAAGTATAGGAATTCATTCTAAAGGAACAATTCAAAATATGCATATGTAAAGATACTTTTATAAATATATTTCCTGCCATTTATTTATATGGTTCCATACAAAAACTGGTAGTTTTTCCTAGAGTTCTCATAGTGAAAACAACTTTGTTATGGACTATAAAGCTGAATGGACTAGGATATAAGGGAGCATTCAAGTCAGAGGGCTGAAATCAAGGTGTCAGTAAGGTTGGTTCCACCTAATGACCCAGAAAGAATGTTTAATACCTGCATCTCATCTTAGCTTCTAGTTACAGGCTGCAATTCCTTATCTATAGACACCTTACCCAGTCCCTGCCTTCACCTTTACATGCTGTTTTCCCTGTATGAGGCTGGATTTTGTTTCTACTAGATGATCTGACTTTTGGTGCCATCATTAGAAATAATGTACTTGTCAATATCTATTACCATAAGAACCACTTCGTAAGAGCAATCTCCTCTTCAGTGCCTATACCACTCTAGGATATTGTTCAATAGCATGACATTTATTATTCCTTAGTGAAACCTCCAAACTCTTCAAGCAAGATTTGCCTAATTCACATATCCAAATAGGGCCTTTTGAGCACCAACCCATGGGTACCATCCAAGATATGAAAAGATGTCATTGTTGGGATACAAGTTTTAATCTTTCAAATGTGGTGAATTTTACTGCACTGTTACAGAATTCTAAGGAATTCTGCTTATGGAAAATGCCTCATATGTTCATGGAGTATTTTAATTTTAAGTAAGGGAACATTTCAACACAGAATGTAACTTTCATGGCTACTTGTGCCATTGATAAGAAGAAAAAAAAAGTTGCTTCTGGGAGTTCAGACTAAAGTATCCATCAATTTGAAAAGGAAATAAGTAAAAGAAAATGCAATATGAAAAGTCATCATCTTAGTTATTACAACAAAAATACCAGTTTTTCACTTATCCATCATAGAAAAACTTTAAACAATACAATGAAACATCCTTTTAGCACAAACATCAGTCATAAATGAGGTTACATCATTTATATGCTTGTCCAAAGAGGCAATTTAGAACTACTGCCACAAGTTCTAGTTGTTTACAGAATGATAATCATAAAGTGAAGTGATGATTATGTGCTTGGAAATAAGTTTGCCCAGGACTGCCAGGAGGTGAAGGACAACGCTAACAGTACTTCTACACCATTAACTTGATAACAGAATTGTCAATATAGCTGCCAAGCACCAATTTGCTAAGCATCACTGAACACCAGCTATAGCATATCAATAAGGATTATTTTAAGAAAATAAACTATCTCTAATACATTTTCTATTTTTCTACATATCTGTGCCTTCTCTGAATATCTTAAAGTAGAAACTCAATATTCACCAAAAAATAAAATAGACTAGTAAAAACTGTATTATAAGCTCACAACAAGAAATATATGCTTAAAATGGGATTTATTTTTCCTTATTGCTGTTGGAATGAGCACTTAATTTTCTCCATAAAATGAAATGAAACTTTGAGGAAATTTATGGCTGCTGAGAGAGCAGTTTCTCACATGCCAAGCCATGTTAGCAAAGTTGGGAATAAATCATCAAATAAATCTAACCAGCACTACAATTCACCCCACAAGACAATATTTAACTTTCTACACGCAAGAGACAATTGCATGACACCTGTCATTAATGAAGTCGCTGAAATCTGTGAAGTGATAGCCTTAAATCACTGGTAATAGCATTCCTCCTCTTATTTTTTCTCTCATTAGTGTTTTTTTTTAAACTTTTGCTTGTCCTTTTCTCACTGCTGCTGCTCTAAAAAATATCTTTGTTCTGGGGCTGTAAGATCTGTGCAGCGACTCTCTTGCCCCCAGCTTTCTTCTCTTCTCATTTCCTGGCCCTGATATTCGTGCTGCTTCCTGGAAGCCTCTCTAAATGACAATCATGGAAGTCACAGACTTGCCCTCCTTCTTTCTCGATGCTCGATAGGGGATGTATTAAATGGTATTATCCATTTGTTCTGAAAACAATGATTTGTTCTGAAAACAATGATGTCTTCCTAAAAATAACTTACAATTTTATTCTTTTCATTGAACATATTTTGAGGTTTTCATGCAAATGCACTGAAAAATATTTGGCTAAAATTTCAAACTTGAAAGTTATGAAATGAATTGTCTTGGTAACTTCTAATAAATATTATACTATTGATTGGGAAGAGATTTGTGGCAAATTATGTGTCAAAATACAAATATTAATATATTAAATTTCATGGCCAGTTAAAGTAAAATCCTCATATAAGAGCAAAAGGTAGTATTCAATACCTCTTTTGGAGTGCCTTCTTTATGACTGAAACTTCACATTAGTTATTTAAGGAACATACCACCTATGATATGTATTGGTGTCTCAGTTATACAGTTAAGCACAATCAGTCTTGGAGAAATTATGTTACTTGCCAAAATTCCACTGTTCTGCTCAGCCTCAAACATAAAACCCATTTTATTAGATTCCCATTATTTCATAATATATTAGGCTAACTTGAAGGACATGATTTTATTTTCATAGAACATAACTCATTAATTAAGGAAATACTTTGTAACAATATTTTACTATTATTTTTATTTCACTGTTACATTTCTTACTAGTAAATGACAGTAGAATTGCCATCCTTTAGGAAATATGTACTTCTTTTTCCTTTGTGCTGCTTAAATCAGTCCGTGTACAGCTTATGTATTTCAGGGAAGGCTAAACTCTCCTTAACTGCAGGTACCGACAAATGTTCTTTGCCTACATGTGTCCAGTTCAATACAAGGCACATCCAAATTGAGACTTTCCTGAGACACTGTGGTGTTGACTTTGACTGTGAGCAGATGCTGCTGAGGAAAAAAATATGACTGAGATCCTAAGCATTTGTCCTTAAAATGAAAACAATAGCTGTTTTTCATTTTTGTTTTTGCTTTTGTTTTCTAGTGATTTGACTTGTCACAGTGCAGTCATATGAAAGAGAAGTCAGGTTAATTATCTCTTTCTCGTATATGTACTTCTGGGAATACTAGTTAAGCAATAGGACTTAGTAAAGTCATTTTTCTTAACTACCTACCTCAAAGAATTATTGCAAAAGAAGGAAAGTGTTTTGAAAGTACTGAGGCGTGAGTGAAGGTGTGTACAGAGAAAAAGTGACAAGACTCTGGATAACTTGCAGGCAGACTCTGTTGTTGACTAGATTCCTTTATATGCATTGTCCACAAAGTCCAGAAAGATTCAGAAGGTTAAATTCAGCTAAGAGAGGAATACACATACTGTTTTCCTTAGAAGAATCCTGAACCCCTTAACATCTTAGAACTTGCTTTATTAATCTTAGCATTGCCAGGGTCCAGCACAGAATCAAATCAAACCATAGTAAGTACTTTAAACATGGAACTATATATGCAGATATAACATAAGGCATATTCCACATATGTTATTATAACTTGTGTGTGCTAGTTGTTTGATTCTTTCAATGCTGAAATGCTTGATTTTGTATTCCATATTATATTTGGAAAAACTGAGGCACTTGAGAGTTTAAATAATCTCCCCAAATCCCATAACTAGTACTGAGCTCACATACTTAGAACCCAAGATTCTCTTACACCAGAGTTTTTGTTCCTAATCACTGTGTTATTCCTGACTTATAAAGTCCCATGAGATAGTATCCTCTTAAGAAACAAAATGGTACTTATTCATTTCCTTATTGTTCTGTGAACTCATGAACTCTTTCAGGAAGGACTTGAGGGCTACTCACTTTTAAATCTACTTCAGAAAATACCTGAACATTCCAGAATTGTTATAGTTGAATAAATATATCAAACAAAATCTCCACCACAGAGTAAAGGTTACCATACTGGCAACTTTCCCAGCACCTCTGAAACATGATTAATAATTACACCCATGTCTGAATTTGCAGACACAAAAGAAGTCATTCATTCAAACACTTCATGACTAAAGTCCTCTAAGAAGGGAAAAAACAAGAACAGTTCTATAGTGAGGGCCTAGACCAGAGCAAGAAGCCCTGATGTCCTTAGGGAAAAATCTACAGCATAATGGAAGGAAGGCACATCTTCTCAGGGTCAGGCTGAATGTGGCAACACTGCAAATAACATGTTTGGAGAACATAACAATAGCTGTCAGTTCAGAAATTACTGACAATTGTAATATATGGGAGATATTTTCCAGTGTGAGTTTTTTCATCACCTCATATTAGCAGATTGATTATTAGCTTATCAAGTTAGTCAGGTGGCATCTGTGGTATAACATTCAAGATGGAAATTGTTTAGCAGATGAGCAGAGAAAATACAAACATCACAAAAATAATAGCTTTAGAATATCCAGAAGGCTGATGGGAAGAGGTGGCTTGCAGAACTTCACCAGTCTCTGGTGCAGGGGAACCTGAAAAGATATCACACTATTACTTTAAGAGTGAGTCATTAAGATTAGTTGTAACATACATAGTAGATAAAACTTTTAAGTAGGCAAAGAACTGCTTTTTTTTCTATAGATTCTGTAACTAAGACTCAAGCCCTGAAAAAGTGGCTGGGCTTGAATCTCAGTTTTCTCACCTATAAAACAGAAGGGGACTGGAAAAGAAGATTCCTAAGGTTCCATTTGGCTCACACAAGCTGAAGGATCAATGGAAGCATATCAAAGCTAACATCAGCCTTAACCATTCAGCAGACAAAAAAGAAGAAAGTGGTGGGTTTGCCTATAACTTGCAGTGCCTTCAAAGACAGGAAGTCCAATCCAGTTCTAATCCAGTCCCTCACTCCCTGTGTCTATCAGTAATCATGAAGCAAAAAGTGCCCAGAACCAAAGTTAAGCACCCAATAGAGAGACAGACCAACAGACACTGAAAAATCTTTTCAAAGGAGGAACTAAGAAAAGAAAAAAAGGAATTGTTAATGATAACAGTAACTTTAGAAGTCTCCCAAACTATTAAAAACCAAACATTGCAACCTTACCTCCCCTTGAAAACCAGCTCTCAAGTGTTCAGTTCTCTGTCACAGTGGGGTTTGTCCCTGCATCAAACGGACAAACACAGTGAAAATTTATTTTATGGAGTTTCCAAAAGTTCTCTAAATGCAAGCCCATCTTTTCTTTTGAAAGAGTGGTAAATCTGAGAAGAAAACAAGTCACAGACACAGAAGGAATCTAGACTCAAAGTCTATTTATTTACAAATATGTACTGCTCCTACACCATATGGTTTGAACAAAGACATCAAAAAACGAAAACAACAGCAGGTCTCCAGCTTAGCTGCCATAGAGATAGCTCGGTTTCCAGGTCTGGACTATTCTCAGAGAAACATCCACTCACAGTCTGTTCAATCCCAGCACTTCTGTTTTTGCAAATGTGTCTACAAGTATCAAATTCCATCTTCTTTCTTTTCCTTATGGAGGAATTAAGTTGCATACCAATTTTTGTTTCAAAAATGACTTTTCCCTGTACAGAAGTCCTCTCATTCAAGATTAATATGCATGACTACTCAAATACTGTTTTAAATGACATGTCACAATGGTAGCACAAGTAGTGCCCTCAGCCACAGAGTGTGCTGTGCTTCTCAGGCCTGTGCACTTCCTGTCTGTCCCTCTCTTTTCTCCCTCTCAGCTGTTCTGGGAACTTTTGCTGAGTGTCCTCTTCTTTCATCTTCTCTCCAATGCTGCTGAGGGTCTATCTCTTTTCCTGTAATTTACTCTAGCCCATGTACATTTTGTAAACACATCCATTTGTGTTTTACCCTCTAACCTATAGTAGTGAATTGAGTGTAACAAAAGTCTTGCCAACAAGTTATGTATTATGTATTATGTTATAGATAGCAAGGGAGATGGTAATATTAATTGCATTTGAAATCAAATAATATAAATATAATAAAATCCTGTGTTAATATATGGGAGCATTTCTTTTACTGACTCTGAACTTTATTTTTCTTTATAAACTAAGAATAATTACTTGAGATGTGAGCACTTACTAAGTCAAATATTGTGCAAAACACTTACATGCATTGTCTTACCTAACCCTCACAACTGTCCTACAAAGTATACTGGACTAATGCTCCATTCAGTATTCAGTGTACTTTAAATTAGGAATTAAGACAGATACCAAGCAATTTGTCAATATTCATGGTTTCAGGCATTATTCATCATAATTTAGCATGAAATCTCACCTTGTATGATCAAGTTTATAAGGATCAACTAAGATGACAATGTAAGAATATTGTATAGGTTAGGAAGTGTGCTATAAGTGGAAGCCATAGTCTCAAATAGAACTTTAAATTAAAGAAGTTACAGAGTGTAAGCATGATTTAGTGGTGAAAAAACTTAAAGGTCCAGAATTAAACCTACACATGTCCTAGTTTGGAGAAGAAGAATTTGGCATTCCAGGAGGAAAAAAACACTATACAAGAAGTATAATTGTATAATAAAATGTATATGTAGATAGTGAAGATAAAGGTCTCTCACAGCAAGGAGGCTCAGAAATGAAGAAAACTGGAATAAGAAAATATTGAATTTAATAATCACGTTTTCTCTTTTTTTCTTAGTTTTCTATATTACTATCATCAGTTCTTTCCCAATTTTCCAACAAAATAAACAGACAATATTTTTTGGTAGTACAAGGGATTGAATCCAAAGCCTTCTCACTAGGACATAGCCTCAGCCTTTTATAAATTTTCATTTTGAGATATGGTCTCACTACATTCCCAAGTGAGGTTCCAATTTATGATTCTCCTGCTTCAGCCTCCAAGAGTCCTGGCATTACAGACCTACACCACCACACCTGGCTAATGCATCTTAATGCTATTTTCCCAACCATGGAAGAAAATTTGTGCTGGACAGGTTAAATAGACAAAGAAGAATTCCCTCAAGGGTATAGCAATAGTATTGAAAGATCAAATTTTTCTCCTTTAAATCAAAAGCAAAAGAGTGTTTAAGCACTGGAGTGAGCTGGTAGATTAATAGTAGAGGGCTAGAGTGGTAGTTGAATGTTATCCATGTGATTAGGTCATCTGTATTTGCTAGCTAGTGCTTATCAAAGTCAGTCCTTGATTCCACAGGGACAGGATGATCACAGCTCCATTTTTCTTCATGATTAAATTTTGAAGAGATGGCTGTGGATCATTAAGAAAGACATTCCTGGATTGTAAAATTTTCAAGAACTTGGGAGATGACTTGCATCTCAAAAGACCAGAGGAAAAGAATCTATAATTGCAAGTTTCTAAAGGTAAATGTTCTAGCCATCAAAAGGCTTGCTTTTTGCAGACAGTCAGTGAGGACAGGGAGACACAACCAGGGCAGCCCCTGTGTACCGACCACCACCATCAGAAAGCTTGTTTCTTGCAGACAGCCAGTGTGGGTGTGGAGACGCAGCCAGATAAGCCATGTGCACTCACAGGCTGTCATTAAAGACCCTTGCTTCCTTTAGACAATCAGAGCCCACTGGGAGAATCAGCCAAACACACCCATCGGTGCTTGACACCATCGAGGGATTCCCAGTGTAGACACACAGGCTGAGAGAAGAAACAGCCCCACCATCACACACCCCTTGCTAGGGAGGAAGCTTCAGTGTAGCTATACGAGTCTGGAGAAGCCTGCTTCATGCCTACTACTTCCATGGGGATCTGGGTTCAGAGAAATATAGGTGCCTGATCCATTGCCCTATACCACAGAGAAGCAGCCAATGTGGGAAGTGTCTGGGACTCCATAACTGACTTGTTGGGAGGAATCCAGGAGAATGTCAAGATAAAGGAGCAAAAGGCAATCTCAGACCTCCAACCCACACAGAACAAGTCTGGATGTAGACATGGAAGAAAATAGAAGCCACACACCTGAAATTTCTAAAAGGATAGCAACTGAAATAAAGAAACAACTTCATGAGACTATAATCAGATCAGAAATAATGTCTCACAGGTAAAAGAAGGAATCACATACATAATGAAAGAATTGCTGAGCATATCAAAAGAAGACAGAGATTTAAAAAAAGAAAAGCATAGGAAAATGATTGAATGAACAATATAGGAAGGAATTACAATGCATGAAACAGATTCAATGAGATATCCAGGAAATTAAAAAGTCAATCAAAAGCTGGCAAAACTGCTTGAAAGAAACTGAAGATATTCAGATATTGAACACAGGATTGCAGCTAGTAATCATGAAAGGAAAGATCTCTAAGAAATAACAAAGGGGCTGGGGGTTTAGCTCAGTGGCATAACCACTTGCCTGGCAAGCACGAAGTCATGAGTTTGATGCCTGGTAGCAAAAACAAAAACAACCAAACAAACAAAAAACCAAGGAACTAGGAAATAATGATTCAATGGCTGCAAGATGACACACACACTTACAAAAACTAATTTAAGAATGTTAGATATCAGCAAAGAAGCAAGGGTCAACACAAATGAAATAAAAAGACTGTTTACAAAAGTAATACCAGAGAACTTCCTAAACATGGGAAAAGGATCTGACACGCTGATAAGTGAGGCATATAAGATTCCAACTAGCCATAACCAAGGTAAATCTACACCCAGACATATGATAATGCAGATCCCAGAAATCCAGCACAAGAACAGAACATTAAAGCCCGTTAGAGAAAAAAAAAAAAAAAAAGAAAACCAATCAGAATCACGGCAGACTTGTCAACACAAACAATTAAGTCAAGAAGAATTTAGAGAGAAGTGTTTCAAATCCTGAAAGAAAACAGCATTCAACCAAGATTGATGTACCCTGAAAAACTATCTTTCAAAAGTGATTAAAAATAAAACAAAAAGAACAACTGAAGGAATTCATGACCACCAAACTAACCCTACAGAGAGTACTAAAGGATAATCTAGAGAGAGCTAAAGGTGATCATGGTTCCAGGAAGAGCAACAGAGGAGGGTTGCCAAACAGGAGAGATAACTGAACAAAGAAGAAAAGTGGAGGGTCAACAGCAGGAAGATAGCATGGCAGAGATGAACCAATGCACGCCAGTTGTAATCATTAATGTAGACGGCCTCAATTCAGCAATAAAAAGAAACACAGGGAGAGTGGATCAAGAAACAAGATGCATCGGTGTGTATCCTGTATATAGGATGCACATTTAACTCAGATGGAAATTCATAGACTGAAAATCAAAGAAGAGAAAACAATTGTTCCACGTGACAGGAGACCAGAAAAAAACAATGATAATTTGCCCATTAACTGCAAAATGGAAAAGAAAGATATTTCCATTCAATGGAAAACTACCAAGCTATAAAATTGGATAATCTCAAGGCTCTTGTAAGTAAATGGACGCAACTGGAGGTCATGCTCATGAGTGAAATAGCTTGGACTCATATGTGTGAACACCGAGTTATCTCCCTTGTATAAAAACAGAAGGAATTAGTGGGACCCAAAAAGCATAATAGATATTATGAAAATGATAGGGGAGGAAATGCCTAAAAAGGAAAAGCAGTAACCACTGTTACTTTCCTATTATCCTGTTTGGAATTCTCATATCATTTTCATAATTTTGTTAGATTTGGTTTTATTCTTCTTATTTTGTTAGATTTTACTGTGTCTGATGGTATGGACAGCTAATTTGAAAATAATGGGATATATTATGATAACCATTGTTCATTTCCTATTATCTTGTTTTGAAGTCCTAGAATCCTTTCATTCTTCTGTTTTGATTGATTTTATTCTGTTTTGTTTGTTTGATTTTATTATGTGTGATGGTAGCCATTGTTCATTTCCTATTATCTTGTTTTGAAGTCTTGTAATGTTTCCTTCTTACTTTGATTGTTTTTTTCTACTTTGGTTTGATTTTTATTATGTGTGATGTATGGGCAGCTATTTTGAAGAAAACAAGAGACATTATGGTAGCTATTGTTGATTTCCTATCGTCTTGTTTTGAAGTCCTGTATCATTTGCATTGCTCTGATCTGATTTGCATTATTCTGTTTTGCTTTGTTTCATTCTCTTTAAAATATAAGTAGATAGATAGATAGATATAGATATAGATAGTTAAAAGTAAATGTTCTAACAAAAGGCAGATCAGAGAGCTATAATCAGAAAGAAACCTGTCTAAGATTTAATTATACAGGGTGAGGGGCTGTTAAGGCTGTCTTTCTTAATATATATAAGCATGGTAGATAATTGTACCCTTTTTTCCCTAAACATACTCATTCTGAATCCATTCCTCTTCGAGTCTTGACTGGTTGTTCTCCAGGCATGATGCTTAGCTGTCATTCTGGGACTCTCTTTCCACCTCTTCACTTACCTGAAAACACTGAGAGTAGAATATATAGTCTTCAACAACATCCCAAAACATGATACATAAAAATAAAATACTAAGACTTTATGTATCTGAAAATATATCTGCATTTATTCTCACTCTTGAGAAATCTTCTGGGCTAGGTATAGAAATCTAAGTTAAACAACATTTTGCCTTCAAAATTTTGAAGGTGCTTTTTACAGTCTGCTAATTTACATTGTGGTTATTTAGAAGTCTAATCACTTGGCCCTTAATTCCTTGAATGTCACACATTTTTCTAAAAGCTTTTCATAGTTTATTGAGGAAGTTGTAAAAAAGTATTATAAACTGGGTGTCTTATAACCAACAGAAATTTACTTTTTACAATTCTAGAGGCTAGGAAGTTCAAGATCCAACACCAGAAAATTAAGTGCCTTGTGAGGTTTCATTTTCTGAAAGCTATATTCTTCCTTTAACCTGATGTAATTGAAAGAAAGGTTCCTCCTTACAGGGGCAATAACCCTACTCATTAGGGTTCCACACTTAGGATCCCTTCTCTCCCAAAGGCCCTCCCTCCAAGTTCTATTGCATTAAGATTAGTATTTTAATATAAGAATTTGGGGTGTGGTGCAACTCAGTCATAGCAAAGTTTTCAGGGTATCTCCATGGTTGCTGGTGGCTTAAAACTGTGCTCATTACATTGATTTCTTGGTGATCCTGTCATTCTAAAACCGCATGTTCTTCAGGGATGCAGATATTATTGAATTAACATTGAGAAATTTCACCCCTCTTTTCTTTGCTCTTTATTTGTAAACAATTATGATGTTAGGTTTCATAGACTTGTCATCTAATTTTCTCTCCTACCTTATATTTCTTTACTTTTTACATTGTTTTCTCAAATGATTTTCCCCACTGTAGCATCTTATTGCTTAAAACTTAATTTTTATGTTTTTATCTCCAAAAACTCAAGAATTGTATTACTTCTTTTAAGATATTCTGCTTTTTAAAGAATCAAATGTCTGAAGGTATGGATTTAAACATTACATTTGACACTCTCCTTCATTTTTGTTGTTCTCTTGATTTCTTGTTGACTGATTATTTGCTTGGATTGTCTTTCTTATTGGAGATTTTCCAAACTGTCAGGCAATTTTGTCTGTAAGGATTTTAAAGAACGTGGCACTAGAGCATTATTTCGAAATTTGCTGTATGAGAATTCTTAAAGAATATTAAAAATAGAGCACAGAGATTTTTTTGCATGGTCTCCAAATGGCAGTATCTTGGCTGGATGCACTGCCCCTACCAGGGCTTTCCCTCGCCCTCTTCAGAATTTCTGTGCCCTGAGAACAATGCTTGGGCTCCTTGATCAGCTTGACTAGGGGTGGGAGGCAGGCACTCTTAAGGATCCTGGGGAACTAAAGGAGAGAGAAGTCAGAATACTTTTTCCTGATTCCTTCTCTGTATCAGTACAGGATGTTAAGCAGTATTTGTTACTCTGCATACCTCAGGGCTTTTTTTTTTTTTTTTTTTTTTGAAATTAGTATATGTCTGCAATACATAATTATTACTTTCCGTTTAGGAGATGGGTTCAGAGAGAAATGGCCACATCCTGATCATTTTTACCATCGCACATTCTCTCTTCTCTCTTTAATTTGCTGGTTCCTGTCACCTTTCCTTACCCTTCATACCTGGACATGCAATGACTTCCTATTCTTGCTGGCTAATTGGAGACTCACCATGCCTTATTTGTTCACTCCCTCCACTAGCAACACTTCATTTGAATCATCGAGGATGAATCTATTTTCTTGTCAGGACTGTACCCAGTGTTCCTTTTCCAGCTTGTTTCATTTTCTATGTGAAGAATCCCATAGTAGTTTTCTAAGGAATTAGGATATCGTATGTCTAACTATGAGTGCTCCTGAGGCAATTGTCATTGGGATAGTGGTTTGCTACTAGTAGCTTATGATCACAGACAGTTTGCTTGGAATGTCTTTAAATTCAAAATGGCTAATGGCATTTGGCAAGATTTTTACTTTTCTGGTACTGGGGATTGAACCCGTGGACAGCACACTGAGCTACAACCCTGCTCCCTTTTATTTTTTATCTTGAGGCATAGTCTAATTGAGTCACCAAGTTCCTCAGACTAGGCTCAAATTTCAGACCCTTTTGCCTAGGTCCCTCAGAGTGATTATAGGCATGTCCACTAGGTCTAGCCAAAATATTTCTAATGGCCATTTACTCCATTCTATGTTGTAACAAAAAAAAAAAAAAAAAAGGGTGTATTTCTCTGATCTTCCTGTTTGCTCTTTCAAGTATTCCTTAAAAAAAAAAAAACATAGTCATCTGAATTTCATTAAAATGAAGTTACCAAAATCTAAGATTCTTCAAGATTTTTTGATGTCTCCTTAAAAGAAAGAAAAATCCGCTACATTTTAATTTTTGTTTGTTTCTATGCATCTTGTAGACATAAAATAGAGAAAGATTTTAGAAATGCAGTGATTTTCCATTGTTTAGGAATAATAATGCAGCTGATAGTTCTATTTGGCCCTTTCACCATCACTTTCATCCCAGACAAGTTTAGTTAGCATATCATTTGCATGTTGGCAAGACAGTTACTTTAATTTGCAATAATAAAGAAAAAAAGACAGAACCCAAACAGGAAATAGAACACCTTTTTAATAACTGATGCATTAAATGAGGAACAGTTTTCTTTCACGAGAATATATTACTTGACCTTCTGCAAAGATAGGTTCATTGGATTTAATTTTGAAGAACTGATTACATTTTTTTTTTTTTTTTTTTTTTTTTTTTTTTTTAGCCAGAGATGGTTTGATTTGATCAAGTCTGGTTAGGATGCAAAGAGGCTATTAAGGGATTTTTGAAGCATTTTTTTCTTGAAGAATGGTTCATTAATTGCTTGTGGATATTCATTCCTCAATCCTCCTACTCTGTTGGATTCAAACTACAGTTGTAAAATTATAATGTTTTTATTGATGTAATTAATAACAAATGTTACTTGTTAACTTGGTTATTGCCAAATTGGACACTTGACAAATGTACTTGAGGCCTTGCTCCAGTGAATTTAATATAGATAAGAGGCCATGTATCAACCTTAAGAGATGAAATCAACAACAGTACTATGGAAATAAATTTTAAAAGTGGATAATATATTTTAGTGAGTTTGGAAAGGCAAAAATAATAATTTTTAAAATTAATTCTTTTCAGGTTTCTCTGGACACCATGCTAAAAATAATTAATACATTTGTTCAATATATAACATCAATTGAAATGTTAAAAGGTATTTTAAAGTTTCAGAAGTAAAGATGTAACAAAAAGTTATACCCACTTTTCCTCCTGCAACCAAGAAAATCTAAGTTCTTTGTGATCAGAAAAACCAATGAGTAACAGCAAAGAAAATCTTTTCCTCTATTGTAATCCAGCACATTGTAATCTAAATTCTTGCTCTCAGATATGCACAAACTGTTCTCAATTATAAAAAGCCAGTGGGAACTAAGTGCACAACTGTAGTCTAAAGGCCTAGAATGGAATTTTAAATCAGACTATATTAATTTGGAATTTGATTATGTGTTGAGTTGATATTTACCTTGACATTATTTGAAATAAAAATCAGAATGTAACAAAAAGCTTCCTTTTATTTAAAGAAATAGACTATATTATAGCTGTAAGCAATACCCTCTACAGTGCTGGCCCTCAAGCCTTGTGGATACAGGTGAAGCAGAACCGGCAGAGCTGTGAGGAGCTGTGAAATATGTTGGCCTGGAGTCAAGGAGACTAAACGTATTTATGAAGCAGCGAGAGAAAAACACTGTTCTCTGAGGCCAAGGTAGGTTTCTGTCTTTCCCACATTACAAATCAGAGACAGAAGCTGAGAGGTTATTACTTGTGCACAGTCCCGCAGATGCTTAGTAGAGTGTTGTCAACCGAATCTAAGTCTTCTGCTTCCAAGATCCCCTCTTTTCTTAGTAGGCCACCTCCAGAAAGACGATAAAACAGTGTCATGTGGTACCTAGTTTACTAAGACAATCAGCAGCAGCCAGAGTGACTCAGGGTTTTCTGTCCCTCTCCATTTGTTCCTCCATTAGTCCTCTTTCATTTCTGTGTACTTGTGAAAACATTGCTTCCTTCCTTGTTGGGTACACTCTTTCTTATTTTTGGTAGGTTGAAACCTACGTCTGAATACCCAATGTGAAAGTTAAAACTGGATTGCAACTGATTAAGAGGTGCCTAATGGTATAGCAAAGCATGTCTTCTGGGTGTGTCTGGGTCATCAGGAAAGTATGGCTAGAAGACTGTATATCTGGTCACTGGTCCCTTCTCTCTGCTGGCTATGAAGTAAGTATCTTTGGTTCACCATGCTCTTCCACCATGATATTTCTACCTCAGAGCCAGCTTGACATGAACTGAGACTTCTAAAACTGTGAGCCATATTAATCCAGTCTTTAAATTGCAGCATTTTGTTCCAGCAACAGGAAAAGTGATTAATACACCTTTCTAAGGCCTCTATCTGCCTATATTTTACAAATTATGCTCAACATTTTTTGTTTCTTCCTTTCCTCCCAAAACTTATCAGTCCTATTTCTCCATTCTTAAGACTCTTCCCTCTACTGGGAAAATTCATACTTAAATGCCTACTGCTCTAGATAAAAATCATTCTTTAAGGGTTGCCAGGAACTGCTGTTGATGGCAATATTAGACATTAATAGGTTAGGTAAATTTTAGGTAGGTTTAGGTAAAAATTTCAAGAAATCCAAAATCTTTTCCAAAGGAGTTTTTGTTATGTATTCATACTTAGAACAGATCAATGCTCCTAAACCTTATCTTAGTAAGTTTAAAATTAATTTTATATTAAAAATGATGACTACAGCTAATATTTTTATCAGCTAATCAACTTCACATTTGTTTAAATTTCTTATTCATTATAAAAACCTCAGGGAACTTTAATCTCCCCCAGAAAATAAAGTTTCACGTTATACTTTAAACACTTCACTTTATATTTTAAACACTTCAAAACATTTCTTAT